AGACACATCCACATGTCAGCCTGACGTGATCAAAGTCCTCTGAGACCAGCACCAGTCCTCCGGGTGTTTGTTCTGGAGCGAGCTGATCTTGTCGTGTCCTTCATTTAGCGCCTCGTTAGCGTCAGAACCCGATGGGATGCAAACAATGTGCGCGCTGCTGTGAACTCACGAGGCACACAGTGTGGCCGACATTCAATAGTCCAATGTTGTATTGGCTCGGAGCTTTTGACCAAGTTGCACTTTATATACCGACCTCTGTTTCCGCTCGGAGGAGCTGCAGGCTGTCTGTGTGGAAGGCTGAGTCCGGCATGTTGTTACTGAGCCAGGTTCTCGTTAGACAAAGTACAGCACAGTTTGTCGTCTCCCCAGAAACCCAGATCCTCAGACTAGTTGGCCCGTTTTGTTATCCGGGGAGCGGACATTGGCCAGGAGGAGTAACGGATCGGAGGTCCGTTAGGTTTTAGCCGAGCTAGCAAGCCGGCACCGCGTGCTCCTCTTGTGCTTCCCGTCGCCTCCTCGCGCCTCGCTCTGCCGCGCCAGTCCAGAGGAGTCTACCGGCGGAGCTCAGAGCCCCGGTGACGCTGTGGCGACCAAACCCTGGCGAGAGAGAGAGAGAGAGAGAGAGAGAGAGAGAGAGAGAGAGCAGGTGTGGCTCAACCAATAGAATGCGTTCACTGTGACATTATACACAAAGTACAATGAAATCAAAAGACAAGTCCAGTGGTGCAAAATACAAGCATAAACTAAAAAACTAAGATCATATACAGTTAGGAATGAGCATGATAACAGCCAAACAGTAAATATATTGCACTGTTGAAATAAGAGCACTGAGGACATATGATAATTATATATGCCTGTTCAGGCTATGGAAACTCATGCATGTTCAGTACTTGTATTGCACTTAGGTAGAATGTGTTGCTGAGTCTGGATGTGCGGGCCTGGATGGATCTGTACCTCGTTCCTGAGGGCAGCAGTGACAACAGGCTTTGGCCGGGTTGTGAACCATCGAAGGTGATGCTTTTGGCCCTGCGCAGACATCTGGTGTAATAGATGTCTCACAGAGAGGACAGCTGTAGTCCTATGATGCTCTGTGCTGACTTCTTGACTCTCCCCACAGCCTTCTTGTCAGCCTGAGAGCTGCAGGAGATGTTAGAACACTCCATGCCTCCATCTGCTGGCAGGTTTTATGGACATGCTGATTTTCTACCTTAGCACCTGCAGACAGAGTCAAAACTACGACCAAACGGTTTGCTGATCATGATATCAGTCTGCTTGAACGGCCAGCCAATTCACCTGACCTGGACCCTGTAGAACCCCTGTATATTAAGAGG